GTTCGATTTAAACGGTTTTTTCCTACGGTTTAAACGGTTTTGGTTTATAAACGGTTCGGTTTAAACAGTTAGCGGGTTAACATTAATCGGTTCAAACGGTTTCGGTTTATAAACGGTTTGGTTTGTTATTGGTTTATGGTTCGTAACGGGTTAACATTAATTGGTTCGGTTCGGTTTCGGTTGACATTATACGGTTCAGTTCGGTTTTCGGTTTAAAATTAGCGGGTTATAAACGGTTCGGTCCGTGATGGTTCGGTTCGGTAACGGACGGTTTCACGGTTCGGTTTGAAAAGTCCCACCCCTAGAAACTGCAATTAAAAAAACCAAACCGAACTGACCCGATAATTTTCAAAACCGACCCAAACCGACCCGTTTATTATTTCAATCCATTATAAACCGACTCGTTATAACCCGAAACTGATAAACCCAACCCAAACCCGAACTGTTTAACGAATTGACACCCCTAAATGTATACAATCTGTCCTCGTCGTTCATGAAATTAACACGGCTGCCATTACAGAATTGAAGAAGCAATGTTAATATACATGTTAACGTGTAAAGAACGAGTAATGAAGTGTTTTGTTTAATCATGGAGGAAATGATCAATTTGAAATAAATGAAGAAGAATAAAATTTGGAAAAGAGGAAGATTAGCAGATCAAATTAATGCATGGTTTTGTTTTTGTGGGCTGTTATAGTGTTATATAATGGTAAGATTTGTTATGTTAGGTTGTCAAAATTTGTTGAAATTATGCAGTATTAGTACACGTAGTGTAAGTATTAATTAAATGAAGAACTAACCATATCATATAATCATATATATCATAAGGTACGTGCATTATTGATGCTTTATTGGAGGCTACTAATTAATTAATTAAGTTTTTTCTTATCATGCAAATGGCTGACTTTATATGTTTAATCACCATTTATTATTTGGTCAAGAATTGGGTTTTAATATCTTTAATTAATTGCTAACAAAAACATGCCTGGCCAGTTCATTTCTGACATGATCAAAAAATTGAAAGTCCTTTTTGTGAACAAAATTCTCTCTTAATTGAAGCTAGGGTTATACATTTTCAGTTTGATCGAGATGATTTTGTTCTCTTTCTATGGTACAATAACTAGTTCGTAATATATTGTTTCAATGTACTCTCTCTTTTTCTGAATATGTGACACACTTTGACTTTTATCATAACTTTGATCGAGATGATTTATGTTGATGTATGTTATTGAAATAAGTTATTTTATAAACTAATAATATATATTATTAAAATTTTTTGTAGGATTCCAAGTTGGATTCTACAATTCAACTCTATAGATACATTATAGTTGTATTGTGTAATTGTGTTGTTTGGATTCAAATACAGATTCACACGAATACTATAACTTAGCTATACAATATGTAATGTGATACGGAAAACTAACTTTTTCTAACCCCCGGCCCGTGTATATAGTTTAATTATCAATTCGGGGCAAAGAGATGATAATAATTTTATATATATGTGCCAAAAAAAAGTGATTTTTTATTTTTAGTTGGGGGAGGGTGGTGGTATTATAACACAAAAACATTTGGGACCATTTAGGCATTTACCATGCTACTCCAATTAAAATACCGTATAAAAAAGGAACATGAAGATGATGACATCTCAATGATCTCATATTCTCATGTCTTGTATATATACTACGTGTATATGAATATGAATGATCGAATTGATGTCACATTTTTTTCAGGTACTCTTTCTAAAACCCTTATTCAGCATATTTTTTTAGGGTGATGCTATATATAACCCTTAAGGCTATAAATAAATTTTTTTTTTTTTTGGTATAAGTTTAGAAATGCATGATAAAATCTCGCGCAAATCAGTGTAACGGATGAATATAGTTCATTAATTATATAATATGAGTATATCCTATCGTAAGCATTGGTCTTAGTTGGCTAATCCTAATTATCCGTCAAATTAAATGATTAAGTTCATGCATGCTAATTTAGACAAAGTTTTCCCTTAAAAAATAAAAAATAATTTGACGATGTCAAGAGTACTACATACGTGTCGTTGCCTGGCACTGGCAGTAGTTGTAGATAATTTAATAACACGGTTAGTTAAGAGTTATAATATGATGAATGTCAAGCTAAGAGTTAGCTAATTAATGTACGTGCAGTGTTTGGTATATCTTGCAATACCATAACTTAGTATTCTATATATATATACATAAATTAACACCGAATTAAGCGTGAAAACTGCTATAACAACCTTGTATTATTATAAATCAAGTCTAATCAACAAAAAAAATTAAAAACCTTGCTAAACGACAAGATTCAGCATTAAGATTGGCTTCTTATCTACTTAGTACTGTATGAACTATATCATACCTAGAGCTTTATTGCTTGTTGAATTTCATACAAAGTTTTTTGGTTGGTGGTAAGAAGTTGGCTTTATATAGTGATTTCAAAATGTTAAAATTATTAATTGTTAAGTAAGTGTAAATTGTAATTCCGTGTTACTGTACAATATAGATGGATTTATTGCGAAAAACAAAATGTTACCCGTGGTTTTTACACCTCTAATATAAGCTACTAAGCTAAAATATAATGAATTAAAATTTATGAGATATTTTATTTTGAAAAAATAGTTTACAGCCTCTCAAGAAGTTGTACTTGTTATACATAACTTAAGTATTTGTCATGGAACAATTGTCTACTATACATTTATTGGATGAACCAAATATATCTCACCGTTTTTATATATCAACCAAACAATTTCCAACTAATGTATAATGTATTATATAGTTCATTATTTTTTGTCAAACAAATCAGTCAACGCGCTATCAGTCTACTTATTCTATTCGATCAAAATTATATTGATTGTTTTAGGCACTGCCTGAATTCACCTAAAAACTTATTCTGAATCCAATGACAATAGTATAACTCTCAATTTCATGTTCACACATAAACTCAGATCAAGTAATGAACTTTTCATCTTCTATACAAAAGTACAGAACCAAAAACTGATAATAAAAATATGTCAGAATACCAAATATATAATTTCAACACCAAATTTAATTTTAAACCATATATTCATATATATATAACAAATTGGCATGTATTGTATACTCTATTAACATACTTAATCAGAGCTAGAACTGATAAAAATTTCTATAAAAACTGCAACAAAATTGAAGAACACCGGATCAATTATGAAGCGGATTAGGCCCCGTTGGAGTAGAAATATGTGTGACAGCATGAACTGTTTTTACCTCTGTAACACTAACCTCCTCTGAACTACCAAAATTTACATGAATCTGAGTATCAGACTGATGCAGAACTCGTCGCGCAGATCTTTGTTGGATTTGATGATAGACAGCAGGTTGATCGAAGAAGAGTGTAAAGAGGATCAATGAACTCCCAAGAATCATCAAAAGAACCAAATTTTTTGTACACGAACAACTTTGAGTTGACATGTTTAAGTACCAAATATTTGGTTAAAAAAAATGGTAACAATATATATGTTGTTTTCTTGTGTTCTGTAAGCTTAGTAGGAGATTAATAAACCAAGAATTATGAAAAGGCAAAACTATAGGGTATATAGATGTGTCATTTAGTGTAAGAAAGAGACAACCACGGGTTTCATAATTCATATGCATAATTGCATATGGTCCCATCTTGTTATTGATTGAGGTTGCTTGTATACTCTGACAATAGAGATTAATGTTGGGTTAATCAGATGATTAGTTTACGATAATCCGAAATCGGATGAGTTTAAGCTTGAATATAGATGTTTAAATGTTGGGTTTTTCAGGGAAAGTGTCAATGTTGGTGATGAGATAATCAAACTACTGGCTTGAATTTTCTAATTATGCTATGATTAGAGTTTTACCAGTTTCTAAAGTTCAGAACCCAAATAGGACTTTTACTTGATTTTGACCCTTTTTAGGATTTTACATGGATTTGGTGATGTTGTACAATAAGTCAGCCTTGCGTCAAGATCGATTTATGTTACGGTGAAAATTTTATCTGATTTTTATATGGAATATGGAATCATGTGAACGGATTATTTATCGGTCTTATACATAAATTTGTGTCTTTTAGAGCTAGATTAGCTTCTTAGGTTTTAATATGTTTGTATGATGTTAGGTATTTAGGTCATTGGTGGTATCCTACAACATTTAATATAAAATTTGTACATGCTATGTTGGTATGACACATATAATGGAGTTATTGACTAAAAGTTTTGTAGTTGATAATAGTTGATAATGAGTTTAGAATTTTTAAAACTCTCCTATTTATTTTCACGCTTCTGTTATGATTTTTCACTACAAGGCTACAATTGGAACATAAAAATATATGGCGAGAAAGATAATACAAATACAATTGTCGATGTTATACTGTTGTATACAAGACCTATATAAATTAGTATCAAGTTGAAGATATGACAGGACGAAATATTTTACGACACAAGGCGAGACGGGGAAGGAACCCTGACTTCTTGTATATATGAACGTTACTTTCAATTATGAATGACAACTCAACCAGCTAATAAAGTCTTTAGAGGGGCCAAACCTAAATCATAATGTACTACGAAGCAAATGGATGAGTTACGGGAGATTTAGGCAAACAGCATTTCCTTGGATCCTTTTTGGTTTCTATCACAACATTAATGTTTTAATCTACAATACACAATTTTCGTATAAACCACATGGTTTAACAATCAAACATGTAATTGATGTTAAAAACTTTGTATGATGAATTTAATCAAATGTATTCGTAGAAGTTCTAGGCAGATTATTAGAAGTATTTGGACTTGCAGAGTACTTCATGTACTCGTAAATGAGGTTTTCCGACTGTTGATATGGCAGTCACATCGGAAGAGAAATTAGAGAATGTAGAATTACATCAGAATGTACCATTGGAGATTCTGCCTACACTTATGGCCTGACTTGGATGGGATATTCTTTCCAGAACCAAAAAAAAAATGGAATGCGCAAGTATGAAAGACAACGATATGGCAATAATTTCAGCTGTATTCCCATCAAACTTATTCAATGGAATCCACATACAAGCATGATTATTTACAATAGTATTTCAAATACTCCAAAATAAGTTCTTGTGCAAAGGATTCAGTTATCACAACATTCCACACAATTTTAACACCAAACCTACTCTTTCCCCACCTCACTTCATGCTACTTAAAAACTTGTTTTCCAAAACTCGGTATACAGCTAACAAAGTACACTACTCATCCTTTTTCTCAGCATCGGTAGCTGATGTCTCCACAGTCTCAGCTGCAGGCTCCTCTGATGGGATGTCTTCCGCCTGCCTTGGAGCTTCAGTTGCTTCGGTGGTTTCACTAGGAGTGGATCCGTCAGTTACTGGAACATCCTTCGTCTTAATAGTTCCGACCTTCACATATTTACTCATGAACTTGTATTCCCAGTCCTGTAATGCATCTAGCTCGAAAGGACCAAGGCCAGAAATATCCCCTGTCAAATCACTTTCTTCAAATGACATCTTGGCGAGAGCTCTGCTAGCGTCCTTGCCAGCAAACAATGCATAGGGCCCACCAGGACCATAGAACATCCTGAAACAATACTTCAAATGTAAGCACTCAGAGTAGATTGCAAAACACCACTATTACTATTTATATGAAATGAAAGAGAGAAAATCGTAAATATGTTTCCATAGTGCTCTACTCCGTATTTCACAAGCCATTGGAACTGGCAGGATGCAAATTTGCCTTTATAAATTCTAAACTTTTCTGAATTTTCAGTGTCCTTCAGAGTTGTTATGTTTTTCAACAGCAATCTGAATCTATGGATGATGCTTGATACAGTAATAAGATTTTTTTTTTTTTTTTTTTTTTTTTTTTTTTGTAGGGATTGACAACTTCCTCATTCAAACGAAAAAAAAAAATACAAATTGCACAATGAACACGGGCTAAATTAAACTAAGAACAAGAAGGCATCTGAGCATCAAAGTGGATGTAGAAGCACAAGGTTTGCAAACAATAAGTCAATGGACACTGGGCAGCAAGATAATAATAAATCAAGATAAAACTAGACAAACCAAGCAAGTTGGGCATCAAAGTAAGTTAGAGCTACTAGTAGCTGTAAATCTGTATTGTACACATTTTTTATGATTCGAATGGTGCATTATTAGAAGGTCTACAAACTCAAATTGCACAGATGCTTGGTTAGACAAATAAAATGTCGGAAACAAGCACATAGGAAATTTGGATTTTTTTTTTAATCATAAAAAAGATGCATTATCAGAAGGTCTACAAACTCCAGTTGCACAGATGCCTGGTTAGGAAAATAAATGGTTGGAAACAAGCAACATGAGAAGTTAGATATTTTGTTTTCCTTCCAAAGCTTTTTCCAAAAGAAACTAGTTGAATTTGAAATTCATGGTGACAGGGATATACAAGTTCCCTTTCTCTGTTAAGAAGTGGCTGTCGTATCTTTTAGCTTAAGGAGGAGGGGCATTAACTTTAAACAGTTTAGAAACCAAATGATTAATGACTGACAGAGAGCTTAACAGACCTTATAACTTCCTATACAACAATACTAATCTACTCATAGGATGCTATTATGACAAATTGACGATTTAGCAGAATTAATTCCAGTGAAAAACCAAGCAGTTGAAAAGTGGAATACAGATGAGAATTTAAAGTGATTATAATTTGAAATGTATTGGTTCAACTAATAAAACATAAAGTCCAATGCTGGTGGCGGTGGAGTGTGTGTGGGGAATGGGGATGAGGGTTGAAAAGAGAGAAGGGGGGGGGGGAGTATATGCAACTTACCCTACCATTTAAACAAGGGAGGCTATTTCTGAAACAAATTGGACAGCAACATGACCCATCACTACAGCAGCCCATTACAACCCACGCCGCTTACATTTATGTTCAAATCATATTTTACATTCTGATCAACTCATAGCACATAATAGCTCTAAAATGTAGAAGGACAAAATCTTAAACTCATCACACTTTCTATAAGTTATTCGAATGCACAAATACCAACCCAAAAATGAGATGCCAAATAACCAAATAATGAGAAACATTTAATAGGATGATGATGAACCGCACAAATGAACAATCCAAGACTACTTCAACCCTGCTTCCACCAAATACCCTTCCAGTGCATATTATACTCCAAAACAGAAACATATCCACCATAGCAATCGTATAAAGGATAGGAAAAACAAAGTGAAAGACTGAAAACCAACTAGATAAAGTTGTAATTTTACATTTTAAAATTCACTTGCCATTGTAATTTGTCAATCAAACCCCCATAGTCATTGAAAACACTAACTTGGAGCCTCTCCTACGCACCCAACTAGTCGAGGATTGTACTCACAAGTCACAACTCAAAAGACATACCACATACACACAAGCAAATAATCAGCACAAACAGCATACTAAACAAATCCTTATTACACTCCCCAGCCTACAGCGGCAAAACCCCTAAATCACATATACTGCAAGCTTAAGCTTTTATACCATAAAATACAAATTCAACACCAAAATCTAATCAAACACATGAAGAACAACGATACTAATACACAGATAAATCATAAATAATCACAATTAGCAGCAATAGAGAGTTCAGTCAAAGATACACCCAAATAATGAGATAAAACCCACAAATAATCAAAGTTCAAAACTTTAATCAACCAATTAAAAAAATACCTTTAAAAAAAGCAAGTAGAACCCTAAAATCGTCCAAATAAAATAAATCAATCAAACCCCCAATAATAAAATTGAACCAATAATACAATAACAAAATCCAAACCCCAGAAAAATTCAACAACTCAAACACATGAATAATTATATACAACCAATAATACAATTACAAAATCCAAACCCCAGAAAAAATCAACCTTCCAAACACATAAACAATTATATACCAATAAAAAAAATTAAAAAATGGAGAATTAGAATTAAACCTGCTCTGAGAAACATCATAGATCTGACCCTTAATAGCCATAAGCAAAGGCTTCTTAGGATCAGTACCATCATACTGCTTCAATTCATCTTCATTAATCTCACCAAGTTGAACAGGAGGAGGCAACGGCTCCATTTCTTCTTCCATAGACCTATGACGTTGATGCTGAGGAGTTGATGATCCAAACAACCCAGAAATCATGTGGTAGAAAGCCAAACTTACTGCAATTACAGTGAAGAAAGTTGCAGGGGATAATCCTGTGTATGCTGTGATTGATTCTTTCAGAGTTTCCCATAATTCTAACGCCATTTTTGATGTGGGTTTTTGATGGAGGAGCAGTTGAGAGGTTTTTCTTGAAGGGGGTGGATTTTTGTGCTTGAATTTAACTTTGAATGTTCAATTTCGCCCTCTTTGGCTGACCTATGAAGGAGGAGAGAGAAACAAAAGGGAAATTTCGAGATTTGGAAAGGGAGTGATGATATTTGATTGGGATGCGAAATTTTTCAGGAAAAGGTAGATAGATTTTTGGTACTTGGGCAATTTTCACATTTTTCTGTGTTCTATTCTTTTCATTTACTCCGTATTATTTTTGTTTATTTTTTTTAATCCATTGTTGCCGACTTGCCGGTAATAGCAATTGGTACTTCTTCCGTGTTTAAATACGGAGTAAATGAAACGTTTTGGCTTTTACAGAATTTTAGAAGAAATCTTATTAGGCTACTATGTATATACGGGGTCATTTACTCATCCAATCAACAAATAAGTAAAAACATTATATGCTCATTTGTTAAATAAATGAGCAAATGACTCAAGTGTACGGTATACCCGACTGTATATAACAAATTCTAATTTAAGAAATGTTAAGTGATATGGTTGAGGAGATAGAAGAAAGTAAGGGATATTGTGGGACCATTAGTTAGTAAATGTTATAATACTCGTATTAAAAAATAAAGAGAATATTATTTTTAAAAAAATGAGAAAATTACTAAAAAAAATAAAGCGTTTCATATATTTAAAGACAGTCGGGAAAAAAAACGTTCATATATTTACGCGGTGGCCCATCTAGTAGCTAGATGGGATATACACAAAAACTCAGAGTTTGTTTGTATGAACGTTTTCACCAAAGCATTATCGCTTTGGCGGAAAATGATTTGATTTAATACATGCCGGCATAACGTTTTCCCTAATAAAAAAATCCTAAAGGGAGATAATTAGAAGGATAATATTGGGAAGAAGGTGGGTGTATGAACTATGGGTCTATGACTCTATGGTCTATGGATGCTCTTCTTGGCTTCTTTGCCTGGAGCCCCAACCCAACAACAGTGAAACCTTCCCTTATTTTGTGTAATAGTTGCGGATAAAAAAAAAGAAAAAAAAACATTTAGTATTATTGTTTTATGTACGTTTTTTTTATTGCTAAACATTTTATATATCATTTATTTGTAATAAAAAAAATTGTAAAAATGACACATTAATAAAAGAAATTATACATTATTACAAGATTCTCATTGATGTAAATTTTTTCCTTACTTTATTCCATGGAAATATGGAATACATTGTGTGAAACATGTTAATAGTCCCTATACGTGTTGATGAGAAATCGTATTCAAATTGCAAATTGGTGCAATTATAATGCGAATAAAGGCTTGTTCTGATTGACTGAACTGAATTAGACTTATTGGAGATGAACTGAACTGAATATGTCATGAGAGAAGGAAATTAAGAATTGAATTAAATTGAACCGAAAATAAGCTGAAGAAAACAGTCCATAACACATGTTGCATTTTATGTAGTTTTCCCCGGTGTTACAAGATGTCCAAGACATGAGCATGAGCATGAGCATGAGCACGAGCATGATATTATATGAATTTTTTAGATGACTGAAGTTGTGAAAGGTGAAGAGAAACAATTCTCATATTTACTACCCTTTACCAATTTATTTTCAAACTCGTACATATTATAAATTAAACAACTACTCACTTTAATAGTCATTTTATACGAAAGTAGTTATTATCCAACAACTGATTTATTTTTAATTTATTTTTGACAAAAGGTAACAGCTACTTAACTTTAACACAAATTCGATAGTCAATAATCAAATTCGATAGTCAAATTAGCTCACACAACACAATGACCTTCTAGTAGCTGATTTATAATTGTCAAACGAAGCAATTGAGTAATACCATGTGGTTGGACAATGAGGAGTCTCGTAGTCTCAATATAACACACTAACTTACAAGTAACAACTAGTCTCGAGTCGTGCTGTTTTCTTTTCAACGCAATCATACCCGATAATTCAGAGCCTACTAGACTCTGACTAATTCGGATCTGAGTCGAACCAAAGCTCAATTGAGGGAAAACTCTTCCCAAACCTGAGACATTGACTAACTTAAAACACTCCCTTATCAGTCGATCTATGTACTTGTTGGTAATCGAGCCGTGTTGCAATTTTCAATTCTTAAGAGGATTAACAAGCATATGATGTCAAAAAAAAAAAAAAAAAAAAAAACAAGCATATGATGTCAAGGTAAACAAATACTAGTAGAATGGAGTAATTTTCTTTATGAAACACTTTGTTCTTCTTCCCTCCATCTCTTTTCCTAAGAAGATAAAATGAACCAAGGAATCCTACAATGGAATCCCTCTTCTAAAAGCCCATTTCCTCTCTCCTCATCCTTTCCCTCACCAATCCAATTCATCCCCAAATTCAAACGCCTCAATCTAATCTCAGCAACCCTAAATTCCCTTGAAGAAGAACAAAAATTACCCGCAAAAGAGAGAAGAAAGCTCAGGAATGAGAGGAGAGAGAGTAAAGCTTTTGATTGGAAAGAAGAAGTTGAGATGAGGCTGATTAAGAAACCTAAGAAGAGATATGCTTCTTGGACTGAAGAACTCAATCTTGATACTTTGGCCCAATTGGGCCCTCAATGGTGGGTCACTCGGGTTGCTCGGGTCAATGGTCATGAAACTGCTGAAAAGCTTGCTCGTTCTCTTGCTAATAATTACCCTGACATTGATTTTAAGGTAATTTTGAGAATTTTCAGTGTTTTTGGCATATGGGTTTGTGATAATTTGAAGTTATTGTTGTAGTTTGTTGAATTGTTGTTGCTGTTGTTGTTGTTGTTTGTTGTTGGGAGGTTCGAAACTGTGACTATCGTACAAAATGACAAACCCTCCGTCTTTTTTCATGTTGCAATTCTCTGCAAATGCAATTATTTTGGTGATGTGTTTGTTATATACTTTATAGACCTTATAGTGCTGTGTTATGGGAAATGGTTGTTGGTTATGTGTTTAAGTGAAAGAAATATGAGGTTTTCTTTTGATGATGATGCTTATCTAATGAAGTGGTCAATCATGAATATACTTGTAGATCAATAGTGATCGAATTCGAGTTACATTGGGATTAAACAATAGCAATTTGTGACTTGAGGTGTTGACATTATGCTTAGTTGTGAAGTGCAATTTTACTCATGGAGTCATAGTGCATCATTGTGGAGTCTGCTATTACTTCCTCCGTCCGAAAATAGTATTCATGATTTTAAATGTAATGTGAAAATCCTTAATATAAGGGCTTAGGACAATGTGACATTCTATTGTGGATGGTTCACTGTTGAAAAATCTGATTCTAGGTAGATGGTATTTGGATTTGTGTAACATGAAACTAATCTAGAAGTTACTTGATAACTTTTGCCCTTTCTTTCTGGTTATATGAACATCATGCTTGAACTGAGCTAGGATACTTGATGTCCTTCTTGTTACTGCAAAGTACAATGAAGAGTGAAGTATATCTATAGACCATATTCACTTTTTAAACAATTCTTACTATTTTTTCAGCTTTATCTGCCTGCAGTACAAGTGAAAAGAAAGTTGAAGAATGGTACTCTCTCCATCAAGCCAAAACCTCTATTTCCTGGATGTGTCTTTTTGAAGTGTGTGATGAACAAAGAGATACATGACTTCATAAGAGAATACGATGGCATAGGAGGATTTGTTGGATCCAAAGTTGGAAACACGTAAGCTATTATTAACTCCTTTTCCTGCTTTGTTTGCAATAATTAAATCTTTCACTGGTTTGACGCTGGTGGTGGTGCTCTTTTTTTCGAGACGTTGGTTTTGATGTTTGTTGGCTTCTCAAAACATTTGTCCCAATTGCATGGAGATAAGTTAGGCTTTTTTGAGTTCATATGGTTTTGTTGTGAAACTTTGTCATATCCCACGACATGAGCCAAACTAATTTATTGATTGATGGTTGTGTTGTGAAAAGGGTTGGCCATTAGGGTTGAAATAAGCGTTTGCCTTTTTGTTTCCAGCATTTATGATCACTTATCAACCATCTAAGCTGTGTGTCACCAAAGTTAATGAAGGCGTGGAGAGAAGTATTACCATTATGATTTTTGTGCTGAAAATCTAGGAAAAATAGCTAAACAATAGCAACACATACTACTAACCATGTCTTATGTAACAACTATTATCCAATTTTTGCTTTGGTTAGTCATACACTTGAATTTGCGTCTATGAAGAATGGTAGGTTTATTCACAATTAGAATAGCTTATAAATAAAATGCATGCTGTAAATGGTGTTATTAGTACATTGTGAATGTAATGTACTCAGTTTTTATGTTGTAGAATTTTAAAGTTGTAGAATTTGATCAGTTAAATGCTGCATGTGGCATGTTATTATGTCATACTGTCCATTGAACCTCTGCTCTAATTAGAGAGTAACTTCTTCAAGACTAAAATTGGTATCAATACATGACTCAACAGGCCTTGGATTCAGGATTACAACTTTGCTTTTATTTCCTAAACCAAAGTAAACTTTGAATCTTCTATGCTGAATTGTACCTGAGGCAAACCTTTAAGGCGTTGACTTTGCTATGTTCTGTCTATTTCTTTATCTCCAGACATGTATCACTCCTCAGTAAACAAATTGCACTTACAGGCTCAATTTGGCAGCATTAACTCGCTTTTCTTGAACAACAATTTATAAGTTGTAGGCTTGTAGGCTGTAGCTGTTAACTTTAACAGTCTATTTGGTAGATGGTAATAAATGACAGTAGTGGTATTGAGGTTATGTGTAATTTTGCAAGGAAAGACACATGCCAACGTCCATATTAACATTGCTCATATTCTTGTATTTGTTTTCCTTTCATAGATTTCCAATTCCCAACCAATGCCACACCTGAAATGGTTATTACTGTTATGAGTGGTAATAACTTATAAAGTTGCGTTACAATGGACACATACATACTGATTTTTTCCTTAAAATATACACACATATCTTCAACCAATACCGCCATGTATACTGCCTAGTGCCTAAAAACGGGCCATGAATGGCTAGTTATTACACAAATAATTTCCATCTTTGATGATGCATGACGAAGTGGAACATTTATAAGCTTTTTACATGAAGCAAGTGATTTTAGGTAAATGTGATCATATTTTTCTTGCTGAGTGTGAGGGAAACCTCGTTTGTTTTTTTCGTGGCCAGGTCATTCCTGGGTACATTACCAGACCAGTGGAGTTAAATCTGTTATGCCGTGTTTTCAGGAAACGACAAATAAACAAGCCCAGACCAGTGTCTGAAGATGACATGGAAAAAATATTTAGACAAGCAAAAGAGGAGCAGGAGAAAGC